TATATATATATATATATATATATAGATTGATACGCAAACTGGTGATTTTATATAACACTTAATTTCCATAATTAATCGAAATATTAATAAAAATTTTTAATGATGAAAGTGTTGCTTGTAGGATAATATTTTTAAGATTGCATTAAATTTTGTTATTTATAATACGAAATATTTTATAACGCTCTCCAAGAGAGACACCATTAATGTTATCTGAGTAAACAAACAAAACATTTTCTCAATTTGGATGTACTCAACGGAAGAAGATGTATTTTATACATAGATTTTATGTTTCATCTAGGTATTATTGTATCTCATATATATTATTAATAATATTCTATTACATTTAGGTATTCTTGTATTCTGTGTTAACAATATTCTAACATATTCGAAGTGTGATCTCTCTTTGTGTTAACAGCGCGGAGCATATCAGAAGAGTTTGGTAGCGAGACATCAAGGTATCGTGACAATGGAGAACCGGCTGTACAGGGTGCAGCGCATAGTCGTGATCCGCGTTCGAAAGATAAAGAAGATAAAGAAAGAGGTGACGAAGGTATTTCAATACAACTTCCGATTAATAGCTTCGGGATTTTCGCCCCCTCTAATCTGTGGATCTTGACATTCTCACACAGAGATGATTAAGGTGTACGATGGCAACAATTCGTTGAGGCGAAGAATATTTCGGGTAATTACGGTACCTAGGCAGGCTACGACAGAGCAGGTTCTCACATCGGCACTGCGCGCATTTCACATCACAAAAGATCCTAGTACGTGCACACTCTTTTATTTAATATAATAAATATATGGATCTTGTTACTAATTGAATCAATGAACTCTTTTTTCGGCCAAAATTCAGGCAACTTTTACTTAACTGACCTGTATGCCGCGGAGGAAACTGAGTTATGTGATCCAACGCCTGTTTTAAATTTAAATCGCAAAGAAGGCAAACGTCCGGCTGTGTTCTTACGATTTAAGTAAGTTTACACTACATTTATTTAAAGATTTTTTAAAGCGAGAAAAATATCTAGAATGATTCATTTCTATGTTATTTTTAAAAAAATATGCTGTAGAATATGATGCTCCATATTAGAGGAAATTGTATGATATCTGTATAAAAAATACGAAATTTTGATACAATGTATAATTAATTAATTAATGTGATTTCAGAGATATTGACAGCGGAGAGGTACGGGTTTATCCCGGCAAATTGCAGGTATCAGAGTCATTCTGTATAGTACCTGTCACCGAAGCAACAACCGTCGTAGACTTAATAAACGAGGCACTGGAAAAGTTTGGTTTACAAAATTTTAATTGTGATGACTTTAGGTGCAGCGAAATTCTTTTAGATCGTGGCGGTACGTTTCGAATTTTTATCTAAACTTGTACGCTTGCAATTTAATCGAATATTCTTTAAGATCCCGTTTTGTGCCTTGTACAAATAAAATATAAAAGTTTTATTTCTCTTAGTAACGGAAAGAGTTTTGTCCTGTGATGAAAGACCTTGGGATACCGTTAAAAGGCTGGGAAAAGATTCTATTAGACAAATGGAACTGATGCGGTTCTATCTACAATTAAAGCAAGATCCCCATGGACCTAATTTGGCTTTATTCGTAGGCAACCTGCCGCCAAATCTTTCTGAAAGAAGTTATGAAAACATGTTAACAGAATTTTTAGGAAAAGGTTTGTGATTTAACGGAAAATGTGCATATCTACAAGATAAGATTATAAAAAATATCTATTTACATATATTTTTTTGGATTTTTTTAGAAAATAGGTTCTCATCAGTCGGCCCAATTTATTACGAATATGGTTCGATGGTTATCATATACGAAGATTTGGATACAGCGGTTAGAGCATTATATACGTTGCGAGAAACAAAATACGAAGACAAACATCTTTTAGGTATTTTTTATATTTTTAAAAATTTATTTTCTATATTATATCTGAGATATGAGAAAGCGTTAGCTAACATCAAGATAGAGATATTTATAGTACAGTACAGTTACATGTCTGTTTCATTGTTTTTCTATTGATTTAGTGTCTTAGCTTTTTAATGAGATATTTTAATAAGACATGTATTGGAATATCTTCTAATCTCTTTTCTCTTCTCTTTTGTTAAGTAATGATTTTGCCGAGTATCGAGCCAAGTATGATACCACCGGGCGTTCAACCGCTGCTCGTGTTTGTAAATGTCAAATCCGGTGGTTGTCAAGGACTCCAGCTAATTTCTAGTTTTCGTAAACTATTAAATCCTTATCAAGTGTTCGATCTTGATAATGGCGGACCTCTTCCCGGGTAAGTAGATATCGCAACGCCGATAAATAAATACGAACAACATTTATATTCCCGAAGCACGAATTTGAAGTAAGCGCTCTCCTTGTGTTACAGACTTTACGTTTTTCGTCACATAAAGGACTACAAGATATTAGTTTGTGGTGGTGATGGAACAATAGGTTGGGTATTGCAATGTTTAGATAATGTGGGTCAGGATAGTCAATGTTCTTCTCCCGCCTGCGCTATTGTACCTTTGGGAACGGGAAACGATCTTGCTCGTGTACTATGCTGGGGTTCAGGCTACACGGGTGACGAAGATCCGCTGAACTTATTGCGAGACGTTATCGACGCGGAAGAAATAATATTGGACCGATGGACCGTAGTTTTTCATCCGGAAGAGAAGGAACAACCTCAAGTAGTCTGTAACGCAGCAAGTAAGAGATAAGTTTCTTAACAACACCGCAACGCCGCCAGCCTCGCGATTTAAAGCGGGAGAATTTTAATGGGCGAAAAAATTCTTTACAGCTTCGCAGCAGGTAGCATCACGCCATTTGCATTGTACAGGTGCTGGTACAACTAGCGAAGACAATACGCAAATATATGTAATGAATAATTATTTTGGCATTGGCGTCGATGCGGATCTGTGTCTGGACTTTCACAACGCGAGAGAGGAAAATCCTAACAAGTTCAGAAGCAGATTACGAAATAAGGGCGTGTACGTAAGGATGGGCTTGCGTAAAATGGTCAGACGAAAACCGTGCAAAGATTTACATAAAGAAATTCGGTTAGAAGTAGACGGCAAATTGGTCGAGTTACCACAAGTGGAAGGAATTATAATTCTTAACATTTTAAGGTAATCACATTATGGAATCTGTATAACATTGTAAAAGAAAAAGAATATTTTATATGCTATATTTTAAACGATGCTCGCCTTTCTAGTTGGGGTTCTGGTGCTAATCCTTGGGGACCAGATACCAAAGAAGATCAATTTTATACACCGAATCATTGGGATGGCATGCTAGAGGTTGTTGGAGTCACAGGCGTTATGCATCTCGGACAAATACAGTCGGGTTTACGTACGGCTATGAGGATAGCGCAGGTAGACTAAAATTAATTATTACAGACATAATATTCGTCGTCTTTCTTTCCTAATGAAACATATATCAATTTATTCGTTATCGCATTTTGGTGAATAGGGCGGGCACATAAAAATTCACTTAAACTCAGACATACCTGTACAAGTAGACGGTGAACCGTGGGTTCAGAGTCCCGGAGACATCGTGGTTTTGAAGTCAGCGCTCAAGGTAATACATTGATGTAAAGAGTTCTTACGAAACTCCCCCCATAATTCCACAAAATACGGACAGAACCGTAACGTAGGCTCACTTGATTGACAAACGATAATATGACGTATCGATATCATCGCTTTAAATCGGAGTTACGCTGGTACATTTCTATGTACAGTCGTGGACAGATCGGTTGCGACACTTTTTTTTTTATAGATTTCAAAACGCACTAATATTTTGCAAATGCGAACCACGATTGGTGTTTATACTGTCTCTAGACTAAAGATAGTACATCGTGGTTTGCATTTGCAAAATATTAGATACCTATAAAATATATATATTTATGTATATTAAATATATATTAGAAATCTATAAAAAAAAGTGCCGCAACCGATCTGTCCACGACTCTACTGTGAAACGTGCAATAATCCAGAGCCATCGCATCTTTTTACTGTTCCGAGGTTAAGTAGAATAATGGGGCGTATATATATATACCTATTCTTGTAGCACGTATATTATAACTTCTTTTAACAGACGCATCCCTATGTATTAGTTTGTAGCACTCTCTTTTGTTTCATATATTACAATACTCTACGTATTCACCGTAAAAGCGTAACCTTGATTGCTGATACCTATCAGCGCATGCTTTCCTCCCCCCCTAATTGCACTCGACTAATATCTCCTTGTTCCTTTGTTCACTTCAGGCTACCATGTTGAAGAAAAGTAAGATCAAGCGTCGCAATACCGAACCGTCGATTCTACCTGCTAATGGGGAGGGGGGCAAGAGCACGGACGAGTAATCCAACTATACCACAACTTACAACCGCTCGATCGTTTAATCGTATCTCGTAAGATGCGCGACATCACAGCCTAGACTCCTCGACCGCGCGCAGGCGGGATGCACGCGCGAGAGAGGAGTCTCGGTGTGACAAATGTGCCGTTTAAAAACCGATTACCACCTACATACGTAGAATGAAAAAAAAAAATGAGGAAAGAACGAAAGACCTCCCGATCCCTCCGTTGATGCATGTAAAACCGATCAAACTTCCGTGATCTACCTTCTCGATGCCTCGATCCAATGCCAGCTAGCTCGAGCTTGTAATGTGTGAATTAGACGCATTATATATCGGACAGTAGTGTTAGCTTCACAAAACGTTTTCTTCTCTCCCTTCTTTTTCTACGTGCATAAGTTGACTATGAGTTTGTAATTTTTCCATTTTTTCTACTTCTATTTTTCTACTTCTACTTATATACTTCTATTTTGTCAGCGGTATTTGACTGACATTTTTTATCGATTTGCTCCTTTGTGCGCTCCCTGATCCTGTCCCTTCCTAGGCTACGATGCTGAAGAAGACTAAGGGTAAAATGAAGCGGCGTAACACGGAATCCAGCATGCAGTTGGCGCTTCAGGCCGCACCGTCGAGCGATCCGGACGAAGACATCTTCTGAGTGAACAAACATTGTGTGAAAGTGATCGAACACGTTGCGGTAACGCAGGGCACGTAGCCGAACACGTAGAGAGAACTCGATCGACTAGCGTAACAAAACCAAAACAAAGGAAAAAAAAATCGGCCTCGAAATCGTCCGACGGCGTTCGCGCTGTACGAACTTAAACATAAGTACTTACTTACAACGCGAAAAAAAAAAAAAAAAAAACACACTCGTGAAAAGCAAGAGGGGACGGGTAGATAAGGTTTTCAGATACACGGATACACACATATATACAGCATAAAATCCATTATCGACTCAATGATTCTTAATGTTTGTTCTTACATTTAATAGAAAATGAAACTAGATCTCATTTTTAAATGTTAAATAATTCTAGCACCGTACGTAGCTCTTATCGATCAATATTTTTTTAGTAAAATTATAATAGATTTTAACACACAGTGACACACGTTACCACACACATACACACGTACAACACATATTAACCAGTATCGAAGGAAGTTAAAAACGCGCTTACGCGTGCTTACGACGACGTTGATTTCCATTTACGTTCCAAAGCTTTGGTAGTCGAGGGAGAAAGGAAGGAGGTCGTAATGTATATTACGTTTCGTATGGTATTCTACCGATTCTACTGCAGTATTACGATACGAAACGTGTATCGCACGATATAAAAAAAAAACCGCAAACCGGTCAGTTGTTAATAATATATTATATATATATAGAGAATATTTATGATTAAATATTAATATATTTACATAATATTGTATTAGTATTACGATATTAAGTTGTGATAATTGTTATGTATGTCTGACTGCTGGGCAGTCTGGAATTCGCTGAGAACCAGTGGCAGTCAGTTTTTTTCTAGGATACGGTTAAGGAAGGAGATTTAAAAAAAAAAAGAAGTTTAATGTAATTTTCATAACGATAAGACCGCATTGCGGGCTAAGCGCTTTGCCGATCCGTCTCCGCGGCGAGGAAGAATGTAGCGGATTAAAAAAAAAAATCGCGATACGTAACACACACGCGCACGCACACACGTACACACATATGTACACGCATATACATTATACGTACACATTACGATGTCAGAGAGTCGGATTGGCAATGTACTGATCACCTTAAGCGGCGTCTACAATAAGATCTCAAGGCACAAAACTTGAGCTTTAAGCCTTAAGTCGTAGGAAAATTGACCAATCATAGTCAATTATTGTTCTCACATTTCACTGTGATTGGTTAATTCCTTGAGGCTTAAGCTTAAGTTTTATGCCTTAAAATCTCATTTGTAGACACCGCTTTACCGATGAATCTGACAGGCTCCTGTAACGACGGAAGCGCGACGGTGCCATCGGCGACACACATTCCATTCTGTAAAACACGAAGGGGCGAGGGGTCGACGCGAGAAGAGATATGTATATTTATAAATTATGCCAAAAGAGAGAGAGAGAGAGAGGAGAGGGGAGAGACGCAGGGGCTTGTTTGTAACACGCTGACGTACTTAAAGGATCGTTGGCACGCGTCGTTTCGTAACTGGAGCGTTTCGTTAACGGGCGACGACCGGGGGACAGGAATCGCGCGAATCGGAGGCAATACTGTTTCACGAGCTTCCAAGGCTTTCTCGATCCTTGGTGCACCGACACACACGAATCATCGAGTGCTATCATTGATCACCGAGCGATTCGCCTCGACGCGAGGCGAACGAGCAAAAGAAAGAAAAAAAAAAAAAGAAAATGAAACTACCTTTTACCTGATGTCGCTCTCGGACACACGCGGGCGTTCACGTTCACGTTGGATCTTCGCTGGCATCGTGCGACTTGCGAAGAGAGAGAGAGAGAGAAAGAAAAAAACGGAAAAGAAAATGTTAAAAGACAAGACAACTTCGGTGCCAAAAATTGTACATAATATTATAAAAGTAGGGACTATACTATTATAAGACGGATTCGCCAGTTAATTCGCGATGGCATTTAATGCGACGGACGCGTGAAGAGAAAGTAGTGCGCGGAGATACTTTCTTAACGTTAAGAGTATTCTTCGGGAAAAAATGGGGGGTGGGGGTGGGGGTGGGATGGGGTTGGGGACTCTTTTGAATTACGTACACACTTGCGTTGTTTCGTGTAAAACGTTTAAACAAAACAGAAAAAAAAAGAACAAAAAGCGGGGGTTAGGGGGGGTGGGACAGCGCGTACCTTTGATACGTGGGAGGTGAACTTGCGGGAGGACGATAGGACTTCTTAGTACGCTTTTAGTACGCGCTGTGTGAACTTAGTTAATTATCTAACTAGACTTCTCTTGTGGATGTCTTCGAATTATGAAAAACGATTATCAAAAAGGAATAAAAAAACACAGAGAAGAAAGAAACTAATCACAAACCAAATTTGAGGCGGAGGCCATCATGCCCGGATGATTGATCCGGCCTCCGGTATCACAACCTGCCAACGATGTACACCAGGCTCGGTTATTCATGTTATATCCGGTGTAGCGACGTGGATAATCACATCGGCGGCAGATTGGAGAGAAAAACGTTTGTTAATTTGACCAAACTATAGTATATTTGCTGTCGCTATAAAAAAAAAATAGAGAAACAATAAGCTATGAACAATCTACATATAATAAATCAATGTATGTGCTACAAGCTGGCTGTTCCTTCATTTGGATTCTTACCCTATCCAGTAATCGCTATAGATTATATCAATATTAATTTTATAATTTCTCGCTCTTATTATATTGTCGAGTGTGGGAAGAATTGTAATATTCATGTAAAGTCACTGTTAATTAGGTAATTTTTTGGTTCTCCTCGAATATTCTGATTTCTGCTCAAATTGAACTTCGGTTGACATTGTCTAAATTCCGATTAATTTATTTAATCGCCTGCATATCAATATATATGGATACAATTATTAATTAAATTCTTTATTATTTGAAAAAAAAAGATTAGATTCGTTTACAACAAAACAACAATAACACTCGACATTTTGTTGCTAACAATTCTAATGGTAGAGTTAAAGTTCGTCAATTAAGTTAATCGTTCGGCCGAAGTCACCCTTAATTGACACTATAATATATTTCGTCGTTATTATCGCACCTCATATTAAATAAAAAAAGAAGATTGGATTAATTTACTTATATAATTTAGCTTATTTTTTAAATTACGTATACATACAATATAATCAGTTCAATATTTATTATAAAGTTGCCTTTTTTTTTTTAATGTAAACGCAAAAATTCCTGCAAGTAGAAACGACGAGTTAAAATAATTATATATGAAGATTAGATAAAACTATTTATACTATTTAGTATTTTACACCTTTGAAGCACCTTAGATAATTTTTATAAAAATATACAGAGTATATACACAGAGATACTTTAATTTTTTTTCGAAGAGAACATCTCTGGGGTCTCGCACATTGCGCATGCGCGGAGAACCGATTTAGGATCTGTGTAGCGCACACGTGCAGTTGAGCAGCGTTGCGTATTTAGGTTATTCGCTCGCTGAATCAAGAAACAGTGTTTTTAATTTAGTGTATCAATTTATTATTTCATCATGCCTGCTGTAGACAGAATCAAGTAAGTTATTTGTCATGTATCTCGATGTATAGAGCGTATCGAAGTATCTATCATTACTCTTTAAAGTATATATGAATAGAATCACGTGTGTAGATATGCGTTGTAATTTTGTGCAATATACTTTTGTAGAAAGCCAACTACACATAGAGGCAAGAAAGCTATATTGAAGAAGGAGCCTAAGTTGATAGAAAATGCCAAGGAAGCATTATGCCTCAAGGGTAATCGCACGTCGCAGATCGTTGTCGACATCATGAAGGATCTGGTACGCAAACATGAAATAACTTCTATTGATGTTGCTTCAACTTTTATGAAAATTCTCCAAAATCGACAAGGTTCTATAAAATTATAAATGAAAAATATATTTCTTTTTCAGTATGATCTGAAGAAACCTAATGCGCAAATGATGAAACAAAAAAATAACATACTGCCGTTTGAGGATGTTACACCTATCGAGAAATTCGCGTCCAAGTATGACGCATCACTCTTCATGATGGCTCTGCACAACAAGAAACGCCCACACAATCTTGTGATGGGCCGAATGTACGAGCACATGCTGCTGGACATGATAGAATTTGGCGTGGAAAATTATAAAGGTTTAAAGGACTTCAAAGGTGAAAAGATCACCTCGGGAATAAAACCATTGTTGATCTTCAATGGTGAACTTTTCGAAAGTAATTACGAGTACGGCAGAATAAAAAACTTACTCGTTGACATGTTCCTAAGAGAAGAAGTCCAAAAGATCAGATTGCAAGGTCTTGAGCATGTTTTAAGTTTCACCGCTGTAGAAAACAAAATACTTTTGCGCAGTTACAGGTGAGACAGGAGTATGAATAAAGGTTTGCGTTTTTAAATTTTTTTCACTGATTGTATAAATGTATCAGTGTAAAAGGTCATGTATAAAAATGAATATTACAGCGAAGTAAATATGTTAAAGAATATGCTTGCGATTTTGATTAAAAATTATCGTGTATAGATCATAATATATTTGTAGGATACTTTTGAAAAAGTCCAACATGAGGACACCTAGGATAGAACTTGAGGAAATAGGACCACGTGCCGATTTAGTGTGCAGGCGCAACAAGTTTGCCTCTGAAGATTTATTCAAGCGAGCTTGTAAGAAACCTAAAGCGCTCAAGGTATTATTTTATAAATTATTTCGAATTTTTATAAATCGTCGATACAGTGGAAATGAATGAAGTTTTAATCTAATAATTATAATTCTATAGGCGAAGACGAAAAAGAATATCTCTACAGATACGTTTGGAACAACGTATGGTCGTATACATGTTGGTGCACAAAATATTGACAGTATTCAAACAAGGAAGATGAAAGGCTTGAAGAAAACAATATCAGAAAAGAAGAGTGCTCAAAAGAGAAAAATTGCTGATAATAACGATGACGCAAAGAAATCAAAAGAAACTACGGATTGAAATCGATTGATTAATTGGGACGTTCAATTAAATACGTACGTTATAGACGTACAATTAAATGAATAGATATGTAATTTTAATATTTAATTTTTATTCAAGATATTATTTCCAACTCCAGCTGGTAATTTTTTGTTGATCCTGCAATTAATAACACAATCTCATATGTATATATTAAGATATATAGGTTAATTAAAGGTTATATATATATATATATATATATAACATTATTAAATATGACTGTTATAAAATTTTTACCTTCACTATAATCCCACAAGAGGATAAACATTTTCGTACATTGTCGCATTCTTTCAATAAAACTGTGTCCTTTGGATTTTGCTCAAGCGCTTTGATTCTGACGGTCGTTCTGAAGTTCAAAAAATGATCGATAACGTCTTCAATTTGTCTACTTGCTACTGTTGATTTTGTGGATCGTGAAATGCCAAGCTTCGAGAGAGTATTCGAAAGATAATTCGAAACAGCGGCAACAGCGCTTACGTTATTACTGTGAGATGTTATCTGCAATTAAAAAATAAATGATTAATATGAAGTACAATATAAATAAGGTTACGCTATCATGAAGTATTAATTATTGACATATTTTTAGTATGCAATCGACTTACATTATCTTGATGAAGCATCTTGTTTCCTATCCCAACAAGATTTATAATTGCATGCATTGCTTTTGAAGTGTCAAAATCATCTGCTAATGCTGAGTAAACTTGACTTCTTGTGTCATGTAAAGTCTAAAAAACATTTAAATTAGCTTAATATAATTAGTATTGCAACATTTGTTTGTATTATACATGTATATATAATTATATTAATTTCAAAGAAATCAAACATTTTTCTTTGAAATTGTATATTTTATAAATTCTTGTATATTTGCATATTGCATAATGACGGGATATTAAAAAAATTGATTTGTTATACGTAGCATCATCTAAATTGATAACTTACTGTAAACAAAAGATTTTCATCAATTTCGCCGGTTTTAAATCTTCCAGCAACATAATTATCACAGTCATTCATGAAATTATCAAGTTTCTTGATTACTGTCACCGCAGTTTGCATAACTTCATCCGAGAATTCAATACCTGCAACAGAACAACTCAGTCCATTACACACGGATCAAATTAAATATGTAAAATTGATGTTGAACATTATTATATGTACCTTTTCGATAATGAGACAGTAGGCAAAGCATCCTAAAATGATTTGCCGAATAGTCTTCGAGGTAATCTTGTATGCTTATGGTGTTCTTCAAACTCTTCGACATCTTTACATCATCTTTCAGATGTAAATGGCCACAGTGGAGCCAGTAGTTAACCCACTGGTCGACATCGTGATAGCAGCAAGATTGTGCCTCTTCATTCTCGTGGTGTGGAAAAATCAAATCTATTCCACCACTGTGCATATCTACAGAATTTCCAAAGACTGTGCTGATAAAAACACATACTGCTATATAGACCAGTATTGTCGTACAGATGAATTTATGTTTAAATAAATGTTGCTAGATAGAAATGATTGCGAAAATAACATGCACAAAACAAAAATAAGTAAATAAATATAAACAAAATTTAAAATTTAAAGTCGATACAAAAGAATTTCTATATAAAAGAGAATTTTAAAAATTACCTTGCAATTGCGCTGCATTCTATGTGCCATCCTGGTCTACCATGGCCCCATGGAGATTTCCAAGACGGTTCGTTATCTTTTGCTGCTTTCCACAGTGCAAAATCCAATGGCGATTTTTTATACATAACATGCTGATCTTTTATAACATTAGGTAACAAGGGTGTTGCTAATTTACCATATTTGTTGTACTTGCCGGTATTGAAATAAACAGATCCTGTAAGATTCATAAAATATGATTTCTCAGTAAATAGAAGTCCGACAATTTTTCTACAGTGATTCAAATAATAAATTATCATACCATCTTTTGCAACATAACCATCATCCTTGGCTATAAGCCTCTCAATAAACTGAACAATTTGCGATATGTAGTCTGTGACTCTACAGCGCAAATATGGCTCAAGGATATTTAACTTATTCATGTCCGCAAAGAATTCAGTCTCAAAATGCCTCGATAAAGTCTCAAAATCCTTTCCACTTTCAATGGAACGTTTAATTATTTTGTCATCAATATCTGTTACACCCATAACTAACAGCACATCTATATTGAAATAATCCGACAGAATCCGACGAATAATATCCGATTTTATGTAAGTCCTACAAACAAATGATAAAAAGTAAATTAGTTTTTTTTATGTAACACAAATATCTAAATTATTAGCAGCTTGACTAACATCTTTTGAGCTGTAATTGTAAGTTCGTACAATCAAAATAAATATTAAATATGCAAGCAGGATTATGTAAATTATGATCCTAATGATCACAAAGCACTCCACAGCTGTAGATATAAAACAATCGTAGATATTAAATTAAATAATATTAAATCGTTTTTATCAATAACAGATTTAATATAATAACGGCAATAAACACACGCGAGAGAATTCTTGTGTAACATTTTCATTACGTTGCATGTCCAATGTGTGCCGAGTCGTATACCGTGGGTCCGCAGATATACCACTTCAAAATATTCTCTGTCTTCAGGATCAGTGGCACCTTGCATTTCGTTAACGGATTATATACAGATACTTCGGTCTGGTGTCCCACCGGTTTTATCCACTGCGGCCTGTCTTGACATCTCGTCTCGGTGTTTACAAAACGTTTGCAAACCCGGACCAACTTACGCGTTACACGAGTCGCATTCATCCTTTATCTTTTTCCAGCTATCCTGACAATCGTCTTAATTTTAACGATCTATTTTTCCCCTTCAGAAAGATCCTTTATTTTATTTTTTTTTCCAATTATCCTGATAATTCTCAATTCTAACAATCTATTTTTGTCCCCATCAAAAAGGTTAGATCTGTTTGAATGTCATCACCTGTTAGATTATTTAATTGGAATAAAATTTCTTAAATTTGCATTGTAACTAATTCCCCTTTTTAATTAAATCTTTCGAATGAGTTTACTAAATGTCCGAGATCCAAATGATCTAACAACGTAACCTAACTTAACCTATAAAAACTGCACATGATCGAGCCATAAAATCCCTCTACTTGGCGACCTTGGCGTTGGCGAGAGCGGAGCACGGGACTCGGGAGCAGCTCAGCCCTCAGGGGCGCCCTCATTTTCAGCGTCACCTATCTGAAAATCAGGACAAACTAAAATCGATGAGAAGGGGAGAAGTTACGCTAAATTCAAATTTCGAACGATTGTTTGCAAAAATGAGAAATTATAGTTTAAATGTCATGTAATTTGTTGAAATAGAAAATAATAGTCTATGAGTTGAGAGTTATTCGTATATGTTGTTGTAAGAAAAATAGGCAACGCTGAAGGAGTTTCAAGAATCAAAGCTAGATATATTTCATATTTGAACTAATAGAAAACAATTAGATAATTGGTTATACGGATTTGAGTTACGTAGAAAAAAGTATCTATTTATACAAATGCGTCCGTATTTCTTACAATCGCTGTTCATTTGCAAAATATCAATCAAGAAGTTGCTGAAATTAAATAGCTGCTATATAATGATAATATATAGTAGTATTTTAATAGTATAATATAGTAATTCATTTTTTTCGATAATTCTTATAATAAATGGATAATAAAAAATAAATTATATACTATATATGTTATGTACATAATTATAAAGTTATTTAATTTTTGAGTATAGCTTCCTGACTGTTACTCTTTGCGTGTATCCTACACAATATGTACTACACAAAAATAATGCAGTAATGATAATTATTCGGCATAGGCAAAATCGTTATTTATTGAAATTTATTGAGCACAATTAGTTCTCCTTATATTTTACACAAGTAAATCTATATTAAAAGTTGTTTTTGAAATTGTGTTTACATAGTGTCTTAAGTTTTATCCTTTACACACACAAACACACGTGTACATAATGCGTATGCTCGTATATTTGATGTACGTCTTTAAATTTATTCTCTGTAATACCCACACGATGCATACTAACAATACAATATCAAAGTCTTATATTACACTGGCGCAATAATAATTATAGTTATCTGACAAAATACGGAATCTCTGATTTTGGCGCACAGCTACCGCCACTGTCGTTTATTCCCTCTCTCTCTTTCTTTTCTCTCTCTCTCTCTCTCTCTCTCTTTCATTCTTTTTATTATTATTATTTATTATTCACGTACGCGAGAATCGCGCGAACCTCCCTCTGACTATTATTACTTTACGAAGTAATATTTTAAAATTTAGATTACAAATAGAGTGCACCCCGACTCTCTCGTCGAGCCATTCGAACATATTTAAATCGTTGATTTTTTTTTTATCAAAGGGACAATAATCTCGTCGTTTAAAGTGAACTAGAAAGCTCGCATACGCCAGAACGCATCGATATTCCATTATTTTCGTCGCTTATTTGTGCGCCGTGGTTTTTTTTCTCCGGCTGTTTTCGCATCCTAAAGAACCTTCTTATTTTTATGCAATGTACATTAACGGATCACTTTCTTCGTACAACTTAAAACTAGATGGCTATGTCTGATGCTAAACGTACGATCGAAAGAGAGTACGAAAAAAATGATAAATAAATATACAATATTATATAAAAAATATCTCTACCTTACGCATTCTCGTTCTTTCATATAATTGTGACATCGAGTATCGGCTTATCGCTAATCGGGAGAGAAGAATTTTAATTATTTTTTTTTACGCGAGCACGTACGTCTTTCTAATCATCTCTTTTAAATGCCGCATTCTGGTGAATGTGAGATCTCTGATTCCTCTAACATCTACATCGTATAGTTTGAGACATTGAGCGAATACAACGGAGCCTGTTAATCCATAATGGGTTATTTGATTATCTTTACTATTTCGGAAAAAGTGATTTAAAGACAAAGATTATAAAGTTTTATATGCAAACAGAGTCTCTCCGTATTTCTTGTAAAAAGATTAAAAAAGGAAAAGATAATAATATAAAAAAACACACCGTATAAAAATTGTTTGCGGATCGGCGCTGTCGAGATTTGCGGGACAACACGCATAACGAACGTCAGGAGTACTTACAAACGACGTCCGGAAAATTAACGTAGATAACTTTCTACACACTTTTGCAGCGTGTCTCTTTCACGTTTGCATTGTTCGGCACTCTTTTCTCTTTTTTTTGTTTTACAATAGAGGTAAATATTCAATCAGTATCTCGTACTAAACTTGCAAACATTGCTAAACGTTACCCTTAACTTATAAAAGAAAAAAGAGAGTACAAGTAGTTAATTAACGCGTTGCTTTTTATTACAATCGACGCCAACTTTTAGCCACGTTTCGCCTTCGGTCGCGACGAGTCGTGGTGGTTACACTATACAACAACAATATCGAATTCGTTCGAACAACAGTTGCTCTCGCGCTACGATCTTTATGAGTCAATCAGAATGGAGAGTGATGTAAACCTGTCCTCAACGTTCTCCAGCAAATTAGATGGGAGAAAGTAGGGGAGAGCAATTTTGTCTTCCTTTAAAATCGTTTCTCTTTCTCTCTTTTACATCACTCCCATTATAAACTCATATGTCAGAGACGGGCGCGGATTTACTTACGTCATAAATCAATTTCCTTGAGTTCTATCCGAGTGCTTAGAGCGATCTAATAAACAGCTGAGGTACTACTGCTTCAATAATCGAACTCTATTATATCGCGTATCGTATAAAATTATCGTTTTCTTTCCAATTAAATCCAATAACACTAGAAGGATTATTTTGACCGTTAAATATGTTTTAGTCAACTGTAAACCCCTCCCATATTTTCATAAACTCTTAATTAATATTAATAAAACAGGTTGTGAGAGAAAACTCTACGTTTTTTTTAGCATTCGGAACACAATTTTTACTTTCTTTCATAAACAGGACGAAACGTTAAAACGGACATGTCTGAATATTTCCATTTACACGTGAGCAAAAAGACTCGTCAAAGAAAAGTTTATATATTCAAGGATGAAAAAGTTACTTCGTAAAAGTAACTCGTTACCATAGCCATTCTTTTTTTCTGAAAAGTAACTCATTACCGTTATTTAGAAAAGTAACGTCACGAGTAACGAGTAACGTTTATTTAGAAAAGTAACTTTGTTACTATTATCGTTAAAAAATTAACAAGTCACAATTTCTGTTACTTTCTCACCGATTTTTGATAATCTATTTTTCAGAGTTTTATCAATTGTCTATATCGTTAATTGACCAGTTCAACATGAAATCTAATAATAATTATCGCAACATGGTGAAACCATCCGTCAAACATAAGACTCCCTTCTTGTTTGTGCTCGTTTTATATACATTTATTGTACGTGTGCAAAGTAACGATAAAAGTGACAACTATATTTGTTGTCATTACTAAAAAAAACTGCGTTACCAATAACGTTACAAATAAGAAAATGCAACGTCCTTATCCGTTCGTTGCTGAAAAAAAGTAATTGTGATGGTAACGACGTTATACAAGTTAACGCGTTACTTATTCCCAATCCTGGTTTACCTGAGAGGCAAATGTAATGATACATCGTATCAAACAATATAACTTTTTTCCAAAGTAGCTTTTCCGTATTTGTTCACGAAAACTCGCTGTCCGTTTAAACGTCTCACCCGACAAGGCATTGAAATCATTTCTTTAGATAATTTGTCGATTATTCCTAACAACGCTAACGTACGCCGTACGGCAATCTTGAACATAAGTTCAGCAGTACAGCCATTTATACACAATAAAAACGTGAGATCTCGATTTGCGATTTATTCGATCGAGTAAACGAATAAAAAACAAGCCCGTCTCTGTTATATGGCACCTGTGCGCATTACAATAATCCTGCGCTCCGCTCAGTCTTCTCAAAGTGTCGCGCGCGACGAAACTATCGCGAGGATTCTTTAACGATGATCATCATCATCATCATCATCATCATCATCATTATTATTATTATTATCAACATTCATCATCATCGGATCGCGTGCCCGTCGTAGCGTTTCATCCGACTTCTCAAGTCTTTCGTCGCCCGACGAGACGCTGGCAAGGATTCGTTGCGTCGATGATCGATCGTGATCCTCGGAATCGCGCCCCCTCCGTTTCACGTTCCGCCTTCTCAGATTTCTACTCTGCTCTACCGGCACAACTCTATAATGCTCGTTCTGAATAAAACGGCTTACGCTAAATGGGTAATATACAGACAGCGGGTAACTATAAAACCAAAGAGAAAAAAAAAGAAGAACACTCCTCCTCTCACCATAACGTCAAAGCTCGTCAACGTACGTTCGCTTCTCCCTTATACGTACGCAGTAAAAGTAGATGGGTCAAAATGTATCAAAAGAAATTCAAGTATGTAATATGTTAATATTCCATTTCAAAAGTTAGATAATTTTAGAATTTGTAAATCTGATTAAATTTTACATACTTCGTTTGATTTTATAAAACATAAATGAAACGCTGAAACTGACAAGAGTTCATTTTAACGTATTTAATTTTCAATGAAGGATTTATTTTATAAATCTCAAGTGTATTTTCCCCGTGGAAATAGGATAAAAAAAGGAGCACAACTATTTAATTATAAAAAAATTTGGACTTCAATTTGCGATTTTTATATTAGAAGCAAAACGTAACTTTGAAATAAATTTTAACTTTTTCCCCATCCATTTTCTATTTTTTTTTTCACACGCTTATGTATTTAATATATAATAAACTGTTTTAAAAATCGTCATAATTAAATTTCAGGGCAGTGCAATTATTTGATTTATTTTATAATTCTCTATAATTATTTTTAAAAAGTAGGTATAAGAAATATTTCTCACTTCTTTCGAAATCTATAAATTGTTTAATTGAAAGTGCTATAGATCAATGATAATAAAATGATAATTAGGACATCTAAAATTTTAATAATTTGAAATAGTAATTTGAATAGTATATAAATGGAGCCACTTGAAATCATACTTGAAATAATATCGAATAAAAGTTCGTAGGACGGTACATACATACATACAAAAGACACTGGTTTATATGATCAAAACAATAAACAATCGCGCGATTGACTAACTTTATCCTACCAATCACACTAAATCGTTGCGTTCGCAATCTATTTCCACCGGCGTTGTTTGATTTACACGCCGAGGCGGGCGAAGTGCTATTTCGATTTTTAACTCGTACCTACGGTTACTCGTCAAAATCAATGTATCAAATATTTTCAACAATCAGAATTCCTCTTTTCACGAGAACTTCGAAGAGTTGGACATCAATTTCCCGTCCAAAAATATCAATATTGTAATTTTAATTAAAAATTAATTAAAAATCAATATTGTAATTTTTGAGGTTCAATTATGTTCATTATACGTTTCACTAATTAGACATAAATTTCCTAAAAAGGTTTGAAAATAAATTTTGTTTGAAAATAAAATTATTATTCGGAGAAGGGACGAGAAGGAGAATTATTATAATTTCTCTCTACTACGCAGAGAGGCTCGATGCTCTGAAACATTCAGCTGTAAATTTTTTGATCGATTTTGAGCCGACTTTTTTTCTGCACGAAAAATCAAATAAGAAATATTCACGGATATTCCAGGTACGAATTAAAAACTGCAGAAAAGCTCACCGTTTTCCGCGCCGGCGGAACAACGGCGCGCGCTTTTTTTTTTTACATGTAATTATTGCCAGCTCTCCGATAACATTCACCATACAACGAATTCTCGATCGGTCGACGGAACGGCGAACGGCTCTGCCCACACGGGATCAAAATAGTGCGTTCGCTCCGCCTCGAATTTTACGGACGGCTGAAAAACAGTTCAATCCTTTCCCCGGGTCTCCAACCAACCACTATCACAAATCATTCGGTAAAGCGCATAATCTATACGTGTGTGTGTATATATATGTATATATATATATACTCCGCGCGATTTCATTAATTACTTTCATCGTCGAACGAATCCTCTATTCATAACACTCGTAGTAAAGGTCTAACAATCTCTACCGGTGAAGGATCGCGGCGCGCCTCCTTCGAAGAACCTCCTCACTTAACACGTACATATACGTGGATCGATGTGTACTTTTTTATTTTCTTCTTCTTTTCGAGGAAAGAGGAACGGGAGGAAGGAGGGGGAGGGAGGGGGCAGGGGAGAACATTAAGAGACGTTTAGGTGCGAAATGGAATCGTGAGTTACGATGCAGCTTGCTGGAATCATGTCGTTGGCGCGTTCGAGGAAGGCGGCGGGTCGGTGCGCCAGATTGAGCTGCCCGAGTGGCTGATCGTAGTGATCTAGAAGAGATATAGAGGGATCGTAATTAAACACTAGTTAGTCTCCAGTTAGCCAAAGTAACTGTTGCATTAAGCGACAATATCGTGCTTGTCTCAATCCTGTATGTATAGACGGACGAGTCTATCCGTAATTTGCTGCACGGATCAATATTATACCGATTTTGCCACAATTTTAATTGTCAAGTGTTCTTCAATGCGATACTCTTTCTCTTGAGAGGGCTTAATGTTGCTCGAAAGCCAAGATTTTACAATATTTTATTCGAAGATCGCTCTGCGATTTATTTACAAAGTTAACATTTTTATTCCGTTATTTTTACCATCGAAGTGGCATTTTTGTCGATATTAAATCGGAATATTTATATTTAAATTATTTTCTACAGTTTTCTTCACCGTTTCGAGAAAAACTTGTGGTTTAAGGGACTCAACGTGATGATAAACCAATCGAGGCTAAACAAAAAGCCGGTTTGTCACTTTTACCTATTTACATACCTTATTGTCGTGTCCGATCAATGGTGTCTCCGCCGTTGTTTCGTCGCTGGAACGATTCATGTACGGGTGTGGCGGCGGCACGTAAATCGGTTTAGAATGACTGGCGACTTGCGCGTAAATCGTCGGCTCCTGGATCGGCTGTCTGCGCGTCAAAGTCGACATGGGCAGCAGCTGGGGCCGTTGGAGGCTAGAGATTTGCACGGGCTGGTAGCAATTCGGAGGTATTCGTCGGTTTCCCCTTAATGCTAATTCGACGTACGTTAACTCGGTTCCCTGCTAAGGATAACAATATTATTCTCGGAATTTGAACAATATGATTTAATCGATTAAGAATTCGATTCCAATATCAGATTGCATGAATTTTTTAAATAAAATCGATTATAGTTGATTTATCATAACTGGAGTCATTAATTAGATAATTAATAAGTATTTAGGAAAACGAAAACCGTGAAATTTGATTTTACAGTTATTATAAAATCGATATAATTTTGTTTAAGATAAATAAATACGAATGGTTAATTGTCGTGTAATCTTTTTCGAATAGAAATTGTGGATCTGATAAAGTAAATCTTAAAAAGTTATTTAAGAGTATAGCTTTTTTTCACTTAAAGTGCAAATTTATTATATATCCAGCTATATTTATACTTTCAATAAATTTTATCAGCTGCATTTTTATAATAGCTACATGTTTGCACGCAATTAGAAATTAATTGTGACTTGCAACTATCATTTGGATGTACTATTATCTTAGATACATAATTACAGACTGTGCTTACGTTGTTTGTTGGTGCGAAGGTATTCACTTCCGGACGTTGCTGCTGCAGTACGTATCGCGGTGAAGCACTTTTGCATAATTCCGCATATGAATTCTCTATAATACAATAAAGTACAGGGATCATCATTGTTGCTCCTTCATAATCGTATATTTTATGCATATATATATTACACACACACACACACACACAACTAATTATAAATTGCAATTTCTTGTTTTAAATAACACTTTAACACGAGGATCATCTTCATGCAACTTAGCTAGCATAAAACTAAAACCTTAAAAAACATATTTATTATCTCCGTAAATATATATCACTGAAAAATAAAAAAGATTAAAATGAATATTTAATTTTAGTAAATTATAATCAGCATTGAATTAATTTCTCCAATTAAATATAATATATAAAAAATAAAACGTAAAATAAATATATTAAACCAATTAAATAAAATATATTTTGTGAAAACAATCTTCAATAATGATTGAATTTTGAGAATTAATTTTTTTCTCGAGATATAAATACGTTAGAATAATTATATATAATTTTTAATTAAAAAGCAAAAAGGAAGCTTGTCTTGTTATAAATGTTTTTTATACTTAAATAAAGAAACCGTCAAAGTTTTATACGACAGTCATGCATCGCTTGCTAGCGTCGCTTAATGACGAACGAAAATAATTTATTGATAATCGATCAGTACAAAAGCATTTTAACGGTTAATAACGATGATCACGAGAGCAATTTGTCTTACACGGGGGGCAATTTATCATGCAATCACTGGATAAACCAGATCGAGGAGGAAGCATGCTGCGAAGCGGAGTGACAGGTACTCTCGCCTACCGTTCGCGTGCGGTATTATATCGGGATTCTTCTCGAAGCTCTCGATGCTATCGGCGCTGAGGGGCAAGGTCGACGATTTGTCATGCGGGGACGAGGCGCCGGTCCCCGATGCCGCCAGGTTCGCCATACCGCCGTCGTCATGAGAGTCCTCCTGAGATCGGGGTCGATAGCGGAGCTTGACAGCCAGCACGATCACGAAGATCACCAGAAGCAATCCCGCTGTGGCACCCACCACCGCGCCCAATAGTGGACCCGACAGCGACAGCATAACTGGCGTGAGGGCTGCAAATTGTGTCCAATTGTTTCGGGGCGAATACGAAGAAAGGGGCGGGACAATAGCGGAGAGTGGTCGAATTTCGCGAAGGAAACTAAAGTAGTTCAGCAATAGCGCTCCCTTAAATTTTACAGTAATTAGAAATGTTCGCATTGTCGTTCGACCGAGAAGCTCAGGAAACATCATAATAGTCAGTACATTAGATATACTTTTCTCTTTAAAAAGAGAAAATATTTTTTTGACGAAAAATATTTTATTTAAATTTAAATTAAATACACTGAAAGAAAAAAGAAAAAATTATATTTATAGTTCTACCAAACAAATACATAGTTGGCGCCGAAAAGAACTATACATTGTGGTAATTGTAACCATTTTTTTCCTCTCAGTTTACTTAAGGTTAAAGATATATACTTTTCATATATATATACCTACTTCTGCCGATGGCTGCAAGTGATTTCCGTTCTTTAAATACAAGGAACGGCATTTTTCGCGTCTTATCGTATATCGAAAACAAGATTCTCATCTTGCATATTTTTAAGAGAAATGTGTTAACAAAAATCGGATGAGAAGAATGTATAAAACGCGATAAAGGGAACTGCTTCGCTACATTCGCGATTGTCCTCGTGAATGTCGATTCGATTATGGATAAAGCATTTTCGATACAAAAGCGGCTTTGCCGTCTCTTTTGTACGATCACGGTACATAATCCTTATGGAGAAAGCTCCGAGTTTTGTTTACAGTTCGACTACTTTCATCGCGACTGACCGAATCAAGACAATTGCGTTGCCAAATCAGATTTGCGAAGAATCAAGTGCGCATGTACTTACGTTGTTTCCGCGGAGAAAATTTGCTATTGTCTTTTCCACGTAATTTTTTTCTTTTTCTGCTATATCGATAATTGTTATAATTTTATCGACGATAACCAACAGCAATCATTCATCGTTGATTTGCTATACAAATAATTTTTCTTATTACGTTCGCCAGGGAAAAAAAAATACGTTGCGACACGAGCTCGTAAAAAAAAGAGGGGGAAAAAAATATGCGCGTCTCGCGTGTCGGAAATATTTTTAACCGAGTGTCGCGCATAAATTTATATATGCAAATTATGACAGATTATGACGATCGCGTGAGCTAATGCACGCGTTCGTCACACTTTACAATGTGGGGGCGATCGTTACTCGGTCGACGTAAGACGGAAGCTCGAGAGAAAGACGACATTCTTTGACGAAGGAAACGAGCGACGTTGTGACGGGGTGAAATGTGCGTCCACGCTTTCGCATCGTTTTCGGGATCTTATCCCGTCGTTTTATTCGCGTGCGATTAAAGTCCGCGTGGAAAGTGGAGCTCTCGCAACATAAATCTCACTCGGAAACACCATACCGCAAGCGTAGCATCCTAGAAGCATCCTGCACGCTTCTGATACCGTTGAGAGTACACGCGATAGATACATGTGTGTGTGTGTGCGCGCGCGTGCGCACGCGTGTATATGTGTGTGTATAAAGGGCACGTGTGTGTACGTATGTGCGGCATGGACCGTAAAAAATGTGGTCGTAAAAAATGCGCACGTATAAGGTTTCTCTTAGCGGCGACGCGCGATCGTAAAGGCAGCTTCGCGTTGGAATCTACCTACGCGGTAACATTCCTGGGGTTTATCACGACCCGGTCGATTTACGGAATGCAATGAGAATTTATAACACCCCACCCCCTCCCCCGATTGGCCCGTATCTTAGGAATAATCTAATTATATCGCGCCCCGACGTTGTTGCTTCCTGGCTGTTAATATCCGTCCGAGTATCGCTAAAAATCCGAACGATTCACTCGTATAAAAAAGGGGGAAAAAATAAATAAAACGGCAAATTAAAATTCTCTGCATTCTATCCCCGGTTTTCATCCCGGGGTGCAGTTAGCTTCTGCTGAAGCTTCATTCCCCCTGTTTGCATATTCCCAGTTATTTTCGCTTAAAACGAGTAATTATCGCAAAATTAAACACGTTTTCGCGATTAACAGGTAGATATTTAGCCCAGGCGGAAAATTCGATTCGAGCCGACAGCTTCGCGACTCTTTCGACGAAATGCCAAATCCGCGTACGTCATTTTTGTAAGAGGTGAAAGCCGATGGTTCGTGGAAAAATAATCCCTCTCAAATACGCGGTCGTCGAGTGTTTGCGCAGATCATAGATCATACAACCGCATTAGCAATGAATTTGGGATTCAAATGCACTCCATTCTGAACTCCTGCGGTATACTCAAGTTCGAGGCTAATCAAAACCCACTTATATCCGCGAACTCTGTTAAATGAATGCCTCTCCGCTGGCTCTCGTCCTTGTTCCGGTTCCCCCTTCCCCGTCTCCTTTCCTCGTCTCCCTTCTTCCTGAGGTAATATTAAAGCCAAGGATGCGTCAACATTCACGACCATCAAACTAAGCTAATGACGATTTGAATTCATGCCTCTGTACGTGCGCGGAAAATGTATTTTGTCAGATTTGCGAGCTTTAGGTACACACGCACACACACACACACACTCTCTCTCTCTATTTTATTTGAAGAATGGACATTCTTGTGAATCGATCAAGAAGTTCTTTGCGAGTTTATATATGCATTGAAATAATACGAGAGAAGGTATTTCAATAATATTAAAAAAAGAAGGGGGAGAACCGGCTAAAAATTTTATTATTTGCGAAAAACTAGTACATCAAGTTTCTTTTTTAATTAAACTTGAAGAGCATCATCTTTTGTAATGGTGCACTCAATAAAAGATGATTGAAGTAATAAAAAATTTATTTATTTATTTTAATTTTTCAAATAATCAATATACTTCTGAATCTTTTTCTTAATTCGCGTTTTCATAACATCTGTTATTTTGCACCCGTTTCTCAATTTTCTCGAACACACGCTTTGGGACGAAACGTTTTTTGCACAAATGAACGTTTCAAGCAAATATGTTGAAAATAGATATAAGTCAAGAGAGACACGTAATCTGTAATATTCAGAAGATATCTGAGAAATTTTCATGGTGAGATAAATGAGGCGAGATAAATTAAAATGTAGCCGCGTCTTCGAACATCAGATTAATTTAAATTAGACCTTTCGGATTTATCCTGGACTTGTCTTACGAAACACCTCGCGATACAATAGAACGGATGTGAACAAATCTCTGGTGCATGACTCGAGCTCTTCGTGCAATAACGCCGCGCGTTCCGTTGTGCGCGTCACTTGTGCGTGCAGCTTCATTGTCTTCGAACTTAAGCCGCTTTCGGTGACCTTATCTATTAATTTACGAAAGATTAATTGAAAGCGCTGTTCCCGAAACTCCCTCGTTGCTATTACGCCGTTAACGTTGCCTCGCAGAATCTACTTCATTCCGGAAGCTTAAGATTGTTTGATCGTAGCAGCCGGCTGTCTGGCGACCAAAGCGGAAACATTGCAAGTAAATAAAACATTAACAATTTACGTAAATGCACTTAAAATGACGTTCACGTAGCTCGTACGTCTCGATGCACTTTGTGGAATACGTTGCCGAGTTTAAATTTCATTAAATTTATAAAAAGAATTAAATATGTGCGGGTGAACGACTGACATTCAAAAGTTTTATAGTTTCTGACACGTCCGTTTAAAGATCTCAATAGCGTTTCTCGCGATACTCGAGGGACGTTCACGTAACATTGTTGCTCACGATCAAGCTTGGAAGATCAGGCTTGGCCACAGAGCAATTTTGGATGAATGCTTCTCGATAGGATTTGCACGTACAAGCGGTCGCCTTAGCGGTATCCCTTGGAAACAAGTTCTTCCGACTTTGCTCTTTCGCGCGTGTGCTAACCGTTCGCGGGATGCGCCAGGGTAAACCGACTTCCGCCAAGAATGTGGCGGAGCCTTCGATTAGCATATCTGCCCCGGTTATCTTCGTCGGTGTCGTTCGTGTAATATCGCCGCGCGTATCCATGACGAAGGTGACAACGAAAGTGTAATGCAATGGCATAATCGCGACTTGAGATCGAGTACACACGTAACCGGATACCGGAAATACGCCGTTCGTTAGCGTAGCCCGGGAACAAACTGTTTACGTAAACGATTTGCCGTGGGTGTCATCGCGAAAACTAACACACGGAAGAAGATAATGGATTATTACATTCATTTATGATAATGCTTGTTACTCTTGTCACGTAGAGGCATCCCCCGCTTTGAAACTTACGAGAACGTTTCGCAGAGTGGGACACGAAAATATGTTGCTTATTAAACTTGAAATTTATTATAACTTCCTGTACCTTTTTTAAAATAATTTTATAGACTGCAATTGTGTTGATTTAACGGTATACAAATTTTATACTTATGCGGATTTAATAACATTAATGAATATTTCTCGTTTACTCAAGTATTTTCATTTATGCATGATTATGAGGTAAATATAAAACTGATAAAACATTTCAAAACATATGGAAGAAAGATATTTGTAATATGGTCGATTATAAATTGTAATTATTTTGAAATAACTAATTGGTATTGCGTAATATTTTTCGTAGGACGCGCGCACTGCAGAAATGTTCCGTGACGAAATTATATTTTTTCATCTCTCATTATGTCACACATTAAACGTGATTAATATGCAGCGAGAAATAAAGGGAAAATGATCATACGTCTGTCAAAACGCGCGCGCACGAGCACATCGCCACGCTTTATTAAATGTAAGTACCACGCTTTATTAAATAAAATTGAATTTGATATATAAATTATTTCTTTGACGTTCTAAATATTGCAGCACAAGTGTTTGTCGCATTTAAATATGATTGGGAGAATCGGTCCCTTTGAACATTTTTTAATTAAATATACGACCATCGTATACTAATATAGATTGTAACTTTTTTTTCTGTCCGCTAAATCTTACGTTAAAAAAAGAAAGAAAATTTTGTAATTAATTAACATGCAGAAGTATCAGCAGTGCTTTTTAATTCACGCAACATAGACGTTTCCATCTTGCACATTAAGTTATATATGTGTATGATACAGAAAGATTAATAAAATATACATTAACGTGCGAGAAAAATTTGCAAGCGATAGTTTGAGCGTGAGGAAACACGAAACATAATTATACAACACAATAAATTAATACGCAATGTGAAATAATTAAAACACAGGTAACAAGACACATACATCTACTGACGAGACTAAGCTTCGATCGAGGAAACAGGCGAAATCTTCCTATACGATGGCCACGTAGCGTGACGCGCTTTAACACGAATCTGGCGCATGCAAGATCTGACCGTATCGTACAAACAGAGTGTAACAATATTTCAAGTCAATATTTCGAGTCAATCGCGGGATTCCCTGGTGATTGCCTTTAATTCGATAGTTCAAGTTCTCCTCGATGGACGCGCGGGAAAAAAAAAGGAACTCGTGGTACGTACGTAAAACAAATATGCAAATTTCGAGATACTTCGTGATGAATTTGCAGAAAGTGTTGACCTGTCGGGTGCAGTTTCCACCGACTGAGCATTTTCATCGCGAACGAATCGCTGCGTAGAAATGCTAGTCTGTTTCGGTACGCGTTGCACGATTCCGACGAAACGATTTTTTCTACGAAGCGCTCGTGGCAACAGCTTCCACCGATCGTATGGACGTATTAGACTATTGATTAATAACAGAAAGAAAAAAATCTATACAAAAATAAAGATATAAATACTAACCGATTTGAAAGCAATTTCAAGCTTCTTGCTTAAAACAAGAGCTACAGACTATAAGAAAAAGAGGAATCCACATGATAAGAGAATCAATGTAGCTGTTATTATTTTACGCAAATTTCACTCGAAAGTACTACTCCCCAAAACAATGCCATCTCCGTTCGATCAAAGCTGAGGGGATGATGACGTGAGGGATCACTATTGTACAACATGAAATCACAAGAAGCGATCACACACAAGCGGTTGTGATGAAAAGACAAACGAATGGACTTGGGCTTTCAGATGTACTAAAAAATGAAATGTAAAAGTCGCAAACGACCTAGTAATTGCTTACTTCATCTTTACGTACAAAATTCTTATTCTTTCATTGCATCACGATTTTTCATATATCTACGGCTGACAGCCTTAAGGCACAACTCAGCAATTTCAGCACAAGAATTCGGGAATTCGGCACAGTATTCGTTAACAACGTAAGTTCAAATGGGAAGTATATATACTCGTAGCACAGATGAACATACCACTCGTGGGAGTACGAGTCGTTTGTTCCGGGATCTCGCGATCGCGACGCGACACTAATTGTCCAAGATGTCACCCGGGCGAAAGATCGAAGGACAATTTGAATTGAAGTATGTACAAGCGCGAAGGAATCGATTTTCGTAGCTCGCTCAAACTACAACGACGATGTCACTCATCGCTGCTTCGATGAGCCCTCGCGCAAAAAAGCACGATCCACGGGGGGG